ACTTAGTTTCATTTGTTGCTTTTTTCTTTCCTTAAGCAAATGTTGGTAGCAGAAGATCGCATCCAGAATGCCTCGTCTTGCTTTTTCCTCCTTTCAAAATCTGGATCATTCGCTACAATTTGATCAACGATTTTGGTTATTGTTACCAAACTTTTAATAAGGAAATCTGTAGAGAAATTCTTTGGGTTCTTCATTTTCAGAATCACTATTTTCTACATAAATTCCTTGTTCTGCAAGTTCTTGAAAATAATCGTTGGTAAGACTCTCACTAGAAACCTGCAGTAACTCCTCAATATCCTGCTTGTCTACATCTCCTAGTCCTGTAGTATCGATTAGGTTGACAATTTGGTCAATCTAATCGATACAGCAATGGGCTCTTCTTGTTGAAAATCCTTGGATACCTACAGCCATAACTTCTTCCATACTCCATTCATGCATTTATCATTTAATTCTTGTCAAGCAAAGTTGATATTGCCTAAGGCATCCATGATGTTATATTTTTTCCAAAATTGCACCAAACAAACACAGATTTAAGGAAAATACAGTGCTATGATGAATTTCCACCTTTTTGCTGATTGATTCGCATTCGTAAATAATTGTATTATATACAAATCAACAAAATGCTGTGATAATTTGAATCAGCGTAAATTTTGAGCTTTTTTTAGGCTTCAAGCAGACTGCATTATATCAAATCAGAATTAAGTGGGATCTTACTGTACTTACAAGCTAGACCTAAAGGGAAATATACCAAAACAGATAACATACATAAATAAGTGTTTTGTTATATAATCTTTTTATATATACATATTTAAGTATGCACAGCACCTTCAAAAACAACAATCATCTCCATTCCAGGTAAATTTAATATGTTAACCTAACAACTGAGATGTCACAGCCTCACAGGTTAGTGAAACAAACTAAACAACTTTAATTACAAAGTTAACAAATTAAACTTCATCAATTTAAACCAACTCCTTTCCAATAAATTGCCTTTGACTTGTTACAGTAAAACAGGTGGAATATCAATATTATATAAATGTAAAACCATTTAATAAATACTTACTGTTCAAAACCCTTCACTTTTGCCAATTTTATTATCTCCTCCCTTCCTTGCCATGCTCAACATCAAAGGGAAAAGGAATAATTTGCATGTTAATCTAAATTAACTTAACATGGAATTTATTAGCCATACTGTAATATATGTTTTGCAGGTGGGATCTCTCTCTTGTAAATACACGATTTCCGATAACCGTTTATCAGATGCAGGAAAGGTGTCGATAATGGTGGCAGCGTAGAGGAAAATGTATCAGATCCCAGCGCCAGAAGTTTTTTTTCGTCCGGAAGATTGGAGAACATGGATAGGGCGTTTCGAACAGCGTCTGGACTCCATAATAAAGAAGAAACTGACCAGGTAAATTCTTTCATATATTTAATGGGACAGAAAGCCGAGGAAATTTTGGCATCATTTAGTCTCCCAGAAGAGGATAGAAATGACTATTCAAAAGTTAAGGCTGAATTCGAAAAATACTTCGTCCCAACTAAAAATGTTATATACGAAAAATATAAATTCTATTCTCGGTTTCAAGAAGAAGGAGAAACAGTGGAGAATTTCGTGACTTCATTATATAGTCTGGTTAAAACGTGTGATTTCCCTGCTTCGTTTCAAGACGAAATGATTAGGGACAGAATAGTTTGCGGCATCAGAGACAAAAAGGTTTCGGAACGTTTGCAACTTGAAACAGAACTAACTCTGGAGAAAGCAATAAACACTGCGAGACAGGCTGAAACAGTGAAAAAGCAACAAGAAGCTTTTAAGAACAATTCCGGGAATAACATATATGCATTACGCAAAACTGCAGGTAGGAAGAACGTATTTTCGAAGCCGGAAGCTACCGACAATTCGTTTACCGGAAACAAAACTGTGAATTCCTGTTATTGGTGTGGAAAACCGGTGAAACATACTAAATTCAATTGCCCTGCACGTAAGGCGATCTGTAATAAATGCAAAATAGTAGGTCATTACACAAAGGTCTGTGAAGCTAAAGTGGGTATAAATGAAATAAAAGAATCTAATCAAAATTCATTTCTAGGACATGTTAAAGGGTCAAGTAATATAAACAATAGCGTTAAGAAACAGCTTAACCAGTGGAATGCAAACATTTTCGTGGGAGACATTCCTTTAAACTTCAAGATTGACACAGGGGCAGATGTCACAGTTATACCACACGAGACATATAACAGAGTGCTATCTCGTGTTAAATTACAAGAAACAAATAGATGGCCCTGGAAAGAAAACACTAGATGTTGTGGGAATGTTTACAGAGAAGCTAAGAAATGAGAGATTTTGNGAGACATTCCTTTAAACTTCAAGATTGACACAGGGGCAGATGTCACAGTTATACCACACGAGACATATAACAGAGTGCTATCTCGTGTTAAATTACAAGAAACGAATAGAACTATACACAGCCCTGGTAAAAAAACTCTGGATGTTGTGGGAGTGTTTACAGAAAAGCTAAGAAATAAGAGATTCCACATCCAAGAAGTCATATATGTTATAGATAAACTAGCACACTCTTAAAGTTGAGCAGTAAAGCTAGTGAACAGTTAAATCTTGTGAAAAGAATACAAGAACTAAACACTACTTTCGATCCATTTAAAGAATTCCCCAATCTATTTCAGGGGATTGGGAAAGTGCAGAAACCCTATCACATTAAACTTAAACCGGAAGCAAAGCCTTACGCTCTGGCGGTTCCTCGAAAAGTACCATTGCCCTTGAGAGATAAGCTCAAGAAAACTCTGGACGAGATGGTAAATAAGGGAATAATCGAGACAGTAGATGAACCTGCAGAATGGTGTGCTCCAATGGTTTTGGTTCCGAAGAAATCAGGCGAAATAAGAATTTGCGTCAATCTATCTAAATTGAATGAGAGCATTGAGAGAGAATACCTTCCAATGGCATCGGTCGACTATACACTCAGCCAATTTCATAACGCAAAAATCTTTAGTATTATTGATGCTAATGCAGGGTTTTGGCAGATTGCATTGGATCCTGAATCATCTTACTTGACAACATTTATAACACCTTTTGGGAGGTTCAGATTTAAATGGTTGCCGTTTGGAATTAAGTCAGCGCCTGAAATATTTCAGAAAAGAATACGTGAAACAATACCAGAGGGCCCTGGAATTGTAGGACTAATGGATGAATTCATGATATTTGGGGGCACAGAAGAAGAACATGATAAACGTCTGCATGAAGTTCTTCGTACACTTCAAAATGCAGGATGGATTTTAAATGTTGAAAAATGTCAGTTCAGAACGAAAGAAGTCAAGTTTCTCGGACATGTAATCTCGCATGAAGGTATAAAACCTGATCCCAAGAAAACAGAAGCAATAGCGAAGCTCCCAAGACCTAGCTCTGTCACAGAGCTGAAAAGATTTTTGGGCATGAGTGGATTCCTAAACAAATTCATACCAAGGATGGCTGATGTTGCAAACCCTCTGTACGAACTGTTAAAGAGCAACGTAGAATGGTTATGGGGGCCAGCACAGGAAACATCGTTCCAAGAGATCAAGAATCAGCTATGTCAAACTCCAGGATTATCAATGTATGATCCAAAGAAAGAAACATATATTTCCTGTGACGCATCATCTTATGGTCTTGGCGCTGTATTGTATCAGAGTAAAAGTGGTCACATGTCTCCAATTTGCTACGCATCTAGGACATTGTCGGATACCGAGAAACGGTATGCGCAAATTGAGAAGGAGGCTTTGGCAATTGTTTGGGCTTGCGAGAGATTCCACGACTACATAATGGGCAAAGTCGTGAATATTGAAACGGACCACAAACCGCTGATACCAATTTTCATGTTGAAGGCTTTGGACAGTCTAACTCCAAGACTGCAACGAATGAAGCTACGAATGATGAGATACGATTATAGCATCGTGTACAAACAGGGAAAGCAGCTTATAATTGCAGATGCATTATCCCGTAGCCCCATACCTGAACAGGGAAATGAAGAATTGACCGAGGAGATTGAGGATTACATTCAAAATATTATCGACACCTTTCCTGCATCTGATAAATGGTTATCGGAAATCGTGTATTTACAAGAGAGAGATCCCACCTGCAAAACGTTGATGAGATATTGCAAAGAGGGATGGCCGAAGAAAAACGAAATACCCGAGAAAATACGAATCCCAAGACGGTATCTGGATTACCAGCCGTAAAAGAGAAGGGGGAGATGTAATATATGTTGATGATTTAGATAAACATTAAATGTAATATAATATATGTTGACGATTTAAAAAAAGGAAATGTAACCGAGAGGTGCCGAGGTGGCGGGACAGAAAGCGAGCGAGAGAGCTTGAAAGTAACCAGCTGGATGTAGAAGTGTTTACTTGTATTAATTAATAAAGAGTTATTCGTACCATATTCTCTGGTCAGTTGAGTCGTTTATAATACACATACTTTGTGTACTTTTAAAAGCTTACAAACTTTGCAAACAGTCAAGAATATTGCAGGGAAAGTTTTAAAAGATTACACATAGATAAAAAAATATGCCAATAGTTAACTGAATGTTTTGTTTGTATGCTAATTTGTAAATGTGCTATAAAAATTAAAAGCTACAATGCTTCCAAATCATAAAGATACTCCTCTGTAATAATTTTATTGGTAATTTAACAAAGAATTTTGTGATTTGATGACTAGTATAAAATTGAAATTGAACAACATTGGTTGGCTAATAAGCCATAGGGAAAATTTGACTGTGATAAAAGCAAAAGCACCACATCCAACTGACCAATAAGCAGCAGTTTCTCATAGACAACAAAACAAAAAAGTGCCATTAGACATAAATAATAATAACTTTATTACTAAACTTTTGTACTAAAAAAAAAAAATAGATTAAAGTTTTCCTTACTGTAAATATAGCTAATATTGATGCTAAAAATATTCAAATTACAGATAATAATTAATTAAATTTTAAAAACATTTTTACCTCAACAGGAATGTAAATGCAATCAAAAATGTGAAAGACCAAAAATTATAGAAGGTAGCAGCACTTGAAAAATAATTTGGAATCGGTAATCAATGTAATCTTCTAAGATCTGATTAAAAAATCTGAAATAAAAAAAACATTGGATTCATATTTAACAACAAAATACTTATTTTAAAAAACTTTAATATACAAAGCAAAAATTTAGGTTAATATAGTCACATCAAAATCTGAAATTTTTAAAATTGAAAAATGTAATAAAATATAGATTGCGTGTGTATTATATTTAGGCATGGTCTGACCATCTTTAGATTACTATTGAATGCAAAAGATGCATATAATGTGGACAGATTTGTACCACTTTACAACAACAGATTTGATAACTTAATATACATAGGATCCACTAGCAGGATCTGGACTAGAATTACTGAGCACAAATATGATATCTCCGCAATAAAACATTGACAACTCCAGATTAATAGATGAAACAGCCAGGGGTGACGCCAAGTTAATTTTAAAAAATATTTGATAACAAAAGGCTTAGAACACTTGAAACATGAGAAATTATAAAAGCTCAAGTCATAAGAAATATATAAATGGCAAAGATGCTGAATTATTTTCTATGACCTGGAAATAGTGTTTCTACTCAAATTTTTGTTTTAAATTCCATGATTTCCCCTGACCAACTTTGTACAAATTCCCTGACCCTCACGTCAGTTCAGCACACTGACAAAATAAAACAGTGTATTATTTACTATGCAAATATGTTATTGCTTCTTGAACTTTTTAATTAGTTGTTTTTTCTAATTAACAGTTACATAATTTTTATAATTGCTGAATAATTAAAATTAAAAATAAAATGTTTTATTAAATTAAAATAGTTTATCCTTTTATTAATCCACAACATAAATCTAAGTGGCCTTGAAAAAAAATAAAATGCCATTATTTATTATTCATTAACAAATCCTGTATAATCCATGTACAAAAGCATATATTTATTAAATTAATATTTTAATAAATTTCCTAAACTTTATAATACATAAATAAACTGGAGGGGAGAATCAGAAATTATTTTCTTAAACAATCAAAATTATTAAAATAAAAAAATGATAAATAATTGTAATTTAAATGATATTATTTATCATTTTTTGTACTTTATACTGTTATAATTTTTTAACAGTTCATTAGCATCTGCCCTCAAACTGAGTGTGTAAATAGCAATTGTGAAAGATATTTGATTATGTTAGATTATTAAGAGTACTACAGATTCATTACTTGAAGTTCATCCTTAACTGAAATTTTTGAGCCTTATAAAATTTCATTCTATTGTGGCCGTTGGCCATATTATTCATGTACTTATATTTTTTTATGTGTAATATAAGTTAGTTTTAGCAATTCCTTTGTTCTTTGTCTTATTTATCCTTTAAAACTTGCCCTTCCATTCCCTATGCCCTTTGGGTGGGATTACCGTTTTGAAGAAATAAACAATGAGAACAATAAAAGAGTAAGACCCTGGAGATCTTGTGGGAGGAAAGAGACTCACTTGTTGCCGGGACAGCAGAGAGAGAAGGTGAGAAGAAATCGCTCTCGAACAGCATGGATAGGTTAGCAGTGAAAGCGAAAGAAAAGATATTACAAGCCAATATCAGACCTGAGAGAGAAGGGAGATCTTCTAGGCTAGCATGGAGAGCTAAAGAGAGAGCTACCAAAGATTGAGAGATTCACCGAGAACACAAGAAATTAGAAAAAAATCAAGAAGGACTCAGGAGTGGTGTCCCACCCAAGTATCTACAGAAAGTAAAGGAAATTCCGGGTATTTCACTCTTCTTCTATTTCTATTTCTACTTCTATATATCCACCCTTGTTCTTTTCCTCTAGTCATAAGTAGAATAAATTTTAATTTTAAGGCCTACACACGTCTGTCAGGTGTCCGTATCGCACGCGTCCTTCTTTTGTACTTAAAGACAGAACACCTATACAAGAGATTAACTTTGTAAAGTCGGGATCCATAAAGAACCTGTTTCTGTTCTTTCTGGCAAGAATAAAAATCAAACTCTCTGTTAAAATTAATTTGATTTAATTATTTTGTGTGTCGGTCTGTTCGTGGAACCCATTACACCTCGCCACGAATCTCCACACTAGGATCATTGTCATGAATAAATTTTGTATTTTTGGATGTCAAAAAGTCCATTAATTACTGTCTGTTCAAGAAATAAAAATAATCATTTATGGCACTAGATTCAATTTTATTTCTATTAATTAAAATACTGCATCAAGTTTATAATTGTGTATCCTATCCTATGATGATGAAAACATACACTTCAATTAAAGTGTTCTTTTAATCTAAAATATTTATGTTAACTTATCAGCTTAGTGTTGTATGGCAAATTGTATGGTAGGCCTACTTACTTGTATGATTTAATTTGAATTTTCCAAACTATGTAATAATAATTATTAATCAGTTCATAAATTATGGTTTTATTTTGTGTGAAACAATTTATGGAGAAATTTTGGGTCCTGAAAATATTCTGCATGCTTTTTGATAAGTTGCACTGTACCACATTACTTCTTGCTGCGTGCAGATGGCTACATCTGGTCTACCTTATTGTGAGCAAAAAAAATCAACAAGCAGCCAAGGAGGCAAATTCCCCGACTTTTCCTGAACACTAATGAAAATCCCTGACTTTCCAGGTGCATAGCAACCCTGAATACAGGAATGATGTAGTAAGATGCTTTTATGAAAAAAATTTTTTTTACTGCTTTATTTTAGTAATTAATATTACAATTTATGTTTACATTGTTAAATATGTTGGGCATTAATAATTTAATAAGAGAAACATTTAGTTCTAAAGATGTTGTGTTGAACTTATGACATGAAAAAACAAATTTGAAAACCATTCTAGAAAATTTAGGATATTTGGCTTGCAATGCAAATCTGTAGAAGCCAGAAGCTGGCCACTAAATGACACTGAAAACGTTTGCACTCTATATTGTATGTCTTTACATGGCTGGAAACATGTACAAGGTTAATGTAAGTTATGGTTATAATAAAACTAGTAGCCTGGGACGCCCCCTAGTGGGCGTTATTTACAAATTTCCATGAGGCACGGTTCCTTTGACTTTTTTGTTCCTATCAATATGCTGTACAGCTCTGTTAAAGTCCCAATGGTAAGATTTACCCTCCGAATGAAGAGGTGGCGACCCCCCCAAACTGTAGCCCCTGTGCGAACAATAAAGTCAAAGGAACCATACCCCTACTCGCGACCCTTCGCGAGATATAAGCCCCTGAAATAATAAATTCCTATTACAAATATACTGAATTATTTATATTGTTATATTGACCAAATAATAATTTATGGGCCAAATGAATAATAATAATTTATATTGTTAATTTAAATAATAATTAAAATTGTTAATTTGAATGTTTGAAATATGACACATGATAGGGGCACCTCTAGTGTCCATTATCAAACGGTTACGCAGACAGACACCTGTTGAATGGGTTATATATATAGATGCCATAAAGTGATCTAAATACTTAATTCCTCATAAGATGCACCACAAGTTTGAAATCAAATTTTAAGACTTTTTTTGAGAGAAAGATTTTTATATAATCAATCTTATAGGCTTGTTAATCTCAACAAGTTATATAGACAGTATAAATACCATAAAATAAGTTGTGTTCAATAGTTTTATTTCTGTATTCTGCATATACAATAATCTTAAATGAGGCATCAATGTACTCTTCAAAGCATTTAAAAATGTTAACAAAGACTTATAATTAAACTATTTTTTTTTACCAGAAAAACTCATTTGAGCTAATGTGCATGTTGATGAGGTTGTCAACACGTTATTTGGGGCACAGGGTAGAGCAGGTTCTTTTAGCCATTTGTTTTCTTTTTTAAACAAATAAATTACATTGATTTTTATTAATAAAGAAACATTCTATCTTAAAAATTTTATTTTCTATTAGTGAAAATAACACTAATTTTATAAGAGTAGGAACCACTACAGGCCCCTAAGTTTTCTCCAGGCCAGGGAAAAAATCCGTTACCCAACTCTCATTGCCTAAATATGTAGAGTAGTTTAGCTGAAAACATCTATTATTTTTACAAAAAGTAACTTATACCAATCATCAAGATATTTGCTTAATATGTAAATAAATCACACCAACACCACCAATAACCAACAAAAATGAAAAATTGCTGGTTATTGGTGTAGGCAATGTAATTTATAAGTATCTTGTAGTCTACTTGCTAATTGTTGTTTTGGACTGTAATTATAAGATACATCCCTATTTTGGACAAGCAAAAATGGGTACATTCAGTAAGAATTTGACATCTTTTGTTCATTAACTCTTAATAGGATATAGTTTGAAAATAGCAAGTGTTGTGTATTAGAAGGTAAAAACTGTTAAATTTCCCAAAACTCATTAAAACTTTAACAGATTAATTTTTCTTTTTTTTTCAAAATTAAGGTTGATACTAGGGTTTCTGACTGAAAACTCACAGCATATTAACATTTTTCTTTGAATTTATCTATTAGAAAGATAATGCTTTTCATAGCTATATAGCAATCTCAAAAATGAACAGTTTGAGACTTTCTAGGATAAATATGCTTTCAAAGTATTTTTATTGAAAAGAGACTATAATAAAAAAAAAACATCTCAGAAGCTGAAAAAGAATATAAATACTCACAGACATCTTCCATATTGGTTCTAGCAGATTGTTTAAATTTAATGTAAAAAGCAACAAATGTTTTTGATTACTTTCAGAGATTCTCGTCAGGTTTATGTACTGTTCCATCAATCTGATGTTATTTGAGAAGTTTTTTAAAAAACAAAACATTCTATGTGCCATGTGACAATATTCAAATTCAAAACATAAGTGTGACATATGTAATAATGAAATATAAATGTACATCACATTTTTGTTTTGAATTTGAATATTGTCATGTGGCACATAGAATGTTCCATTTTTTTAAGAAAAGTTGCTTGAATAACATCCGATAGATGAAACAGTACATTAACCTGACAAGGATTTCTGAAAGTGATCAAAAAGGTTTGTTTGGTTGTTTCTTATATTAAATTTATCTACTGGGACCAATACAGATGTCTGTGAATATG